TCGCAAGTCAACGGGAGAGTTAAGACAGCACAGTTAAGAGTATGCTTATGATAGTCCTGTACAGGTTTCTGTTTTTAGTTAAAGAGTAAGTTCCTGTTTGTCCTGTGTTAAATCTTTACAAGTTAGTTCCTATTTGTAACTGAGAATAAGTTCCTGTTTCTTAAGTCTGATATAAACTGCAAAACATGTTTTTCAACCTACACTAAACCTGTGACTCCATTCCCATGATGTATATCCTTGCCCTGTTTCTTGTTCCTTCCCTTTCATTGTATTTTTCTTATTGTCTAATAGCCACCTCGCTCACCCCTGTAAACACTTCATGTTTCCTATAAAAAGGAGTTCAAGAGGCCAGTAGGGACTGCTCTCTAAAATCCCCGACTTGGGATGAGGCAGTCAATTGACTAGTCCCAGTTATATTTGGCATATAGGTTGCTTTAATAGGACAACTGTGAATTTGGTCTTCTATCCTCACAATTCTCAGGCTTAACAACTGATGCCAGAAAGTGCACCTGACACCAGGTTCTGGTGACTTTGTCAGAAAAAAGGAAAGAATCTTTGAATAGTCCAGGCTAACCTAGAAACTCACTATGTAAAGCAGGCTGTCCTTGAACTCACATTCATAAAGACTCACTTGCCTCAGTCCCTGGATGGTGTATAACAACTTGCCTGGCTCCCATCGAGCTTTTTTTCATGTGTTCCAGGGACAGAACTCAGTTGTCAGGTGTGTACATCAAGCACTCTTACCTGCTGAATCAATGAACCTCTTTCTTTTTCTTTTAGAACTTCCCATACCCTTTTACTCTCTGCTTTCTCAAGTCCACTGTTTGGTTGCATCATCATCTTGGTCATGTGCATGTCCCCAACTATTGCTAGGGTCCAGTTCCCGTGCCTCTTCTCTGAAGTTCTCTCTTATCTAGCCTGCAGTGATCTGTCTTTCACTCACTTCCTAAGTGCTTCAGTGCTTTCTTTACTTTTTATCATGCACTGTTTTCATTATTGGTGGACAACATTCATGTCCTTCTTAGAACAGGTTGTATAGGTATTAGTGTGCTGTCCTAGAAAGAACATAAACTAGAATTTACAGGTTTCTGTTTTTAGTTTCTAGTTCCTTCAGTGTATGGTAGTGTGACTACAGGCAAGATTTTTATTTATTCTCCTTAAACTCAGCCTGTAATCCACACAGTGCCTGTATTATAGGTTATTAAAAGATTAAGTCATGAGTGAGGTAACTGAATCGAAGGATTTACTGAAGTTAGGCTCCCATCTCGTCTTGCTTTTCTTGATTTCTATGCATGTATCCAGAGTGCTACATACAAATATTAGAAATTGTTCAGTAAATTGGTAATCTTTAATAAGACGGAAAGATAGTATAGATCTACTAGATTAACATGTAGTACAGAATTATTTATTGTTGAATGGTGTTGTATTCAAACTGTATTAAAATTCAGATGAATACATAATTAGAAACATACCTATTAGAAAAAAATCTTAGAATTAATAGCAGCAGAAGCCATTAATAAAGTCACTTTCTCTTATTATTCAAACAGAAACTGGGCTTTGAAGAGGCTTTTTTGGACTCTAAAACAGGACCATAGTTTTGGCAGGACATACTGGATTCAAGATTATAATTTTCGTTTTTGTTTTAACAGATTTAAACATATTTTATGCCAGTGGATAGAAGGATTATGTTCTAGAGAATGTAAGATTGGGATCCCTGAAGTTAGCCTATGATCTAATTTTTATACCCTTTTAAGTATTTATATGTTATATCTTATATTTCTGTCATGCATCATTCTCCATACTCTATATAGAATGTGTAATAGTTAGGAAGGCAGGGCCAAATTCAAGGCAAAGTGTGCACACTAGATTTAAAAAATAACTATATAGGAATGATAGTAGGTATGAGATTAAAGTGTCACTACATAGAGGATACAGATGAGGAAAACTAAGAAGTAACCAAGACAAGGGGAATTGGGAAATCTTGATTCTAAAATGCTGAGAAGTCTGATTCAGATAGAATTTCAGGAAGGAAGTAGTTAACATTTTTGAATGACAGTGAGACCATCTGGAAAGTAGAGATCTAAACACAGGCCATTGAGTTTGGTTGGTGTAGTAACAGTTTCAGGAGATTGTAAGAAGGATAGATTGCAAGAGATTGTGAGACAAACTGTGAGTATAAACTGCTCTTTCCAGGAGGGAGTCCATTTGTAAAGATAATAATCACTTGATTTCAGCAGTCTGTAGAGAAATTTGAGTGTGTTTGTTTGCTGAATGTAAAGATTAGTGAATAAGAGTGCTTGATTGTAAAGGAGAAAAGATAATTTCTGTAGTAGATTACTAAAGATTGTCTCCCAAACCTCAGTGCATACTGGAGTTATCAGGGGCATCCATTACAAGGGCAAATCTCCAGGCAGCATCTCATGGCAAAGGTTACCCTTTTCTGTAGAGGTTTGTGTCTTAGAGCAGGCCCCTGAAGGGATAAGGGAGAATTTGAACCATATTCATAGTTTTTTTTTTTACAATCAATTATGTCAGATTGTTCAAGAAAGTAAGAGTTCTGATGAGGACAGTTGTAAAATGACTGCCAGTATAGTATCCAGAATTAATATAATACTAATGGGATTACTAGGTGGGCAATGAAGTGTAGCTAAGGAAGTGGCTTTGCTTATTTTAAGAGTGACTACAAGCTCACTAGAAATGAAAGACGGAAAACATTTAAGAGGTAGTGAGCTTGGATCAGAGAGAATAGTTTCAGAATTCATGACTTTGAAAGCAAGTAGACAAAATGGGGCTGTTTGCATACAAGGTGAAAGAACTGAAGGATGCATATTTAAGGCTTTTCAGTTTGATAAACCTACTACTTGTTAGTAAGTATTACAAGGGGACTCAGGACCAAAAAGAAACTATACACCCAGGTGTCCATTCTTTTGACATGGTGATGCAACATGATCATCTGCAAAGTTCATGCTCAAGCACTATAAAGTTACATTACAAAAATAAATTGCAAAAAAAAATCTCCTAATGTTTCAAGTGGCTTTGTAATTTTTTGTTGGGCTACATTCATAGCTGCCCTGTCACATGGGGCTATGTGCTGCAGGTTGGATACTCCTGCAAAGTTGGGTCAGTGTAGAACAAACTAGACTTAAGATTGTCTTGAATAACTTTAGAGGTCAGGGTGTTGTATCTGCTTCAGCTTCCAGTCTTCTGTGAGCATCCTTGATCCTATCTGGCTTTTTAGTAAACAGAGTGAATACTTTGCTCTTAAGGATATACTATAGCTGATTTTAACTGGTCACAATTGTCTCTAATGGTTTATGTTTGTCATTACTGATAGATGGATGGATGTATATGTATATGTACATGTATGAAGCTTATAGTTTGCAATGCTAAAAGGCCAAACAGTCTAAGAGCTTTGGCACAAACCCCACCTTAGCTGTGTTACCTGGTGAACATCAGTGCTGAAAGCTGGTTTAAAAGACATTATGTCTTGAAACAGTAAGCCACAGATAAATTGAAGTAACACAGTGCCTTCTAAGGACAACCCCCCGCAGTTAGCCTAAGAACTTGCTACCTGTTAAAGGATCTTTCCTTACCTATACCATGACTGAGGACAAACATCCACTCAGTGGACCCTGGGAGAGTAATGGAGCATAGCCAAACTAGGGTGCATGACATGAATACTTAATAAGTGTGCTCAGGAAGTAAATTTGAAGCTTCTGTCTTAAAACTGTGTTGCAGGAACAAGTCACTTACCTAATGACTTGTAAATTAGCTTTTGCCTTTAACACATGGGACAGCATGTTAATTATCAGAATATTTTGGCCTAGGTTTCACAGAAGACAAATTACATGCCAACTGTGGCATTAGACAAGATTTTAAAAATTGGAGTGGGAAAGTTACATTGGAACAGGAGCTCACTGTGTAGCATAAACTGACCTGGAACTCACCATATAGCTAAGACATGGTCTTAAACTCTCACTATTCCTTCTGTTTCTGCCTCCCAAGTGCTGAGAAAACTTAAATGAGCAAACCGTGTCCAGAGAGCTAAAGATCAAATGAATTTTTAAAAATTTTAGCTATGCAACTACCATGTAATAATTGCCTAACAAATGGTAATTACTGGTACAACTTCAGTAATTAAAGTTTTGAAGTCAGACTGTATTGTGTATGTCTAGATTTGATGAATAGTACTTATTCAAAATCTTGTTTCTGTGCCAGGTATAGTGGCACATGCCCATAGACGGGAGGAAGAAGTGGGGGCTTTCATGTTCAAGGTCACACTGAGCTATGTAGCCAGTACCAGGTCAGTCTGGAATACCTACAAAAACCCTATCTTCAAAAACATATAGTTTTAAATTTTGTTTCGACACAAGAGCCCTGTTCATTGAGACTAGTATTAAGTTCGCTCCTAAATTAGGGAAGCAACAGCCCAGTTTTCACCCACTAGATTAGTTACCTTTCTGTTGCTGTGGGAAAGCACTGTGACTAAAGTACCATATAGAGGGCTTTATTGTGGGCTTATGGTTTCAGGGATAAGAGTCTATTAGCATCACACCAGGAAGTACAGCACTAGGTAGACATGGCTACAGGAGCAGCTGAGAGCTCACATCTCAAAACGGCAAAGAGCAAGCCAAGAGAGCAAACCCTCAAAGCTTGCACCCAGTGACATAATTCGTTCAGCAAGGCTGTGTTCCATCAAGCAACCACTTAACTTCTATTGTTTAGAAAATTAATTATTTTCTTTGATTTTTGTTTTGTTTGTTTTGTTTTTCAAGACAGGGTTTCTCTGTAGCTTTGGAGCCTGTCATGGAACTCACTCTGTAGACCAGTCTGGCCTTGAACTCACAGATATCTGCCTGCCTCTGCCTCCCAAGTGCTGGGAATAAAGACGTGTGCCACCAACACCCAGAATTTAGTGCACCTAAAAAAAGTTCTGTTTTTTGCTAACCCTGTTGTTCTGTCAGTATATTATAAACTTATGTATCTTCTTTGCTTTATAGTGAAGAGCTCAGAAAAGAAGCAAGACAACTAAAGCGGGAACTCTTAGCTGCGAAACAGAAAAAGGAGACTGCAGCAAAGGCAGAGAAAGGAAGTGAAGGTAAAGGCTTTAGTGGGTTGCAATCTTTTATTTAATGATGTGTGTGTGTGTGTGAGTGTGTGTGTGTGCGCGCGCGCGTGCGCGCGCGTGCGTGCATGTGTGCGTTTGCGCACGGGTGGGAGCCTGAGGTCAACCTCAGATGCCATTTATGCATCAGGAGCTGACACCTTGTTTTGAGGTGGTATTCTTAACTGACGCTGCAGTTCACTGTTGTCTAAGCAAGCTCCAGAGATGTTTGTGTTTCCCCCTTCCCACTGCTGGGTCTGCAGGTGCATCCCGCATGCCCAGCTTTTCTGTGGTTCTGGAGACCCAAGCTCAGGTGCTCATGCTTGCACATCAAGCACTTTAACAAGTTAGCCGTTGCCTTAGCCCCTCACAGTGTCTCTTAATGCCGTTTTTACTGCCTTCCTGCCTCCTTGCTTCCTCCTCTTCCTTCTCCTCTCCTTCCTCCTTCTTCATGGGTGGAGGTTTTGGTTTTTCCTACAAACTTGCCCTGGACAGTTACTAAATAAAATAAATCTCCATTTAAGGAGATTATTTTTCTGAGAAATAAATTTGATGGAAACAGGGCCATGATTATTGCTTTTAAGTAAGCTTAATCAGAACTTACAGAGCACATAAACCAGATAAGACAGTGTGGCTGTAACAGGCAACTGAATTAAAAGTGCACAGAAATTGTTAATTGTTTTCATATTTTATACTCTTTAAGTCATTTAAGTTTTTAAAAACTATGCTAGGACCCGTACAAACATTTGTGTGTTGGTTTCAATGGTATTAAATGCCCATTCGGTTGTTGTTGTTGTTACTGTTGTTATAACATGTATGTGTTTTGCATATCAGCACATGCACAGAGGTACACACATGGAGGGAGGTATGGAGAGGTTAGAGGACAACTTCAGAGTTTGAGCCTTCAAGCTTGTTTGAGCTATGGTCTCTTGGTGCTCACCACTGTGTACTTTGAGCCAGCACACCTTGGGCTTCCAGGGATTCTCCTTGTCTGTCTCTTGTTTCACCATGAGAACACAGAAGATACAGATGAGCATGGACCATCGCCGGGTCTATGTGGCTTCAGGGGATGCTAACTGAGGATCTCATACTTGTGACAAGCACTTGTACCTACTGAGCCATCTCACCCATCCCACTTATGTTTGGGTTTCCTCTACAACAAGGCATAGAAAGCCTAATACATTTAAAGCTGATCAAAACAGTACTGTACTTCTATACAAGTTTCTATATTTTATATTCTTTATTCTATGAGGCACTGTGATTTTTCCTAAAAAGGAAAGATCGGCTTCAAAGAAAGCTATCTGTTTCACAATAAAGCATGGAATGTTCAGTTTCCAAAATTACTACTTAGAACCCTTAAACCTGTTTTCTTTTGATCATGCATTATACTATAAATTCCCATTGTAGCTTAGTCCTAAGTGTTTTAGTTGCCTCTTCTACAATGTGTAGTAAATTCGCGGTAACACGTTACTTTGTGCAAACAACTTCACCTTCACACTTTTGTAAAGCATGGAGTATTTTCATCTGTTAGGTTTTGAAGTGTTTATTGGAGTTGTGCATGTGTGACATGTGTCATGTATATAGCCTTAAAGAATATATGTGCCAAGAGAAAACAGAAGTATATCAACTGCAAAACATATTATTGTAGTAGGCAGTAAAAGTAGTACCCTTAGCTACTTGGAGGATGCGATTCGAGAGTGTACTGTATCTCCCAGTGATTTGAAATAAAGGCAGCCCCTTGATAAAAAACTCAAGTCATTGGAGTATACATTTAAGTTGCTAAAACTTTAAATCATCCATAGTAGTGCAAATTGTAAAGGGAAAAAAGGATTTATTCATGGCTAACTCATGTAGTTAAAATATAATCCAGAGTACAAATAAGCTGTATTGGCAGTATAACTGTTAAATAAATTTAGTAAGGATTATTTTATATATAATTTTCCCAAGGGATTGATTGTTTCTTATATTAAAAGCATATTAAATACAGAATTTCTGTTGGACTAGAAAGGTGCTGTAGTTAAGTATGTTATTCATTTTGAGCTAATAATTATGAGTGCCCATATGTGACAAAGTCTCTGCTAAGAAGCCAGCCTTTAATCCCAGCACTTGGGAGGCAGAGGCAGGCGGGGCTCTGTGAGTTTGAGGCCAGCCTGGTCTACAGAGTGAGTTCCAGGATAGCCTTCAAAACAGTACAGAGAAACCCTGTCTTGAAAAACAAAAAACCAAAACAAAACAAAAAAATCTCTGCTAAGAGCAGGGTATGAGGTTGGCAGTAGGGTGGTTTCCTGCTCTGTTACCTCAAGGTCTGGAAGGAGAAGAGAAGTGCAGCAGGTGCCAGCTGTGCAGGCAAGTTACACACCTGCACCAGATGTGTGGTGTGTGTCTGTCAGCTTTTGAGACGCCAAGTGTAACTAGGGAGGGAAGACTTCCTTACAAGAGAGAGGACCCTTTAGACCCTGGTTTGGCTTACATGTAAATGAAAACAAGCCATGTTAAAGTCTCTTGTGCCGTAATTAGAGATTCTCCAGCTCCAAAAATTGTAACTCTGAGATATTTTTGCTGGTGGTATTTAAATAGTTAAGTGGGGGTATTTTTTTTCTTTTTTAGAGATTTATTTATGTATTTTATGTTTATGGGTGTTTTCTCAGTATGTACATCTGCACAGCAGAAGAGGGTATTGGGTCCCATGGGACCGTAGTTATATAGAGTTTTGTAATGAAAGAGCATCAAGCCATAAACACTATTTTATTATTACTATGTGTGCTGTGTGTGTGTAGTTTGATGCAGCCTTTCCTAGAACCTATTTATGATATACATTATGGATTACATTTTTCTTGGAATTGTGTTTCCTTTAAACTACTTTGAAATTCTAAAAATGGCAAGTATTGGACCAGGCAGTGGTGGCGCACGCCTTGAATTCCAGCTCTCACTGGGAAGAGGCAGGCGGTTCTCTGTGGGTTCAAGGCAAGCCTAGTCTACAGAGCGAGTTCCGGGAGTGCTAGGGCTGTTAGACAGAGAAGCTCTCTCTCTCTCTCTCTCTCTCTCTCTCTCTCTCTCTCTCTCTCTCTCTCTCTCTCTCTCTCTCTCTCTCTCTCTCTCTCTCTCTCTCTCTCTCTCTCTCTCTCTCTCTCTCTCCCTCCCTCCCTCCCTCCCTCCCTCCCTCCCTCCCTCCCTCCCTCCCTCTCTCTCTCTCTCTCTCTCTCTCTCTCTCTCTCTCTCTCTCTCTCTCTCTCTCTCACACACACACACACACACACACACACACACACACACAAACCCTGTCAAGTATTAGTGGAATGTTAATAGAAAAATAATTATTCTGAAAGATTTGTTAATTTCAGAAAACATCACTTTATATTTGGAAAAAAGTGTTGCTATACAATTTTAAGCAAATGAAGCATCTTCCAGTGATTATCAATGATTGCACAAGCCATCTTACAGCACAAGGTTATAGAAACAAAGTAGAATTTGAATATTTTTCAGTGTATGTTAGAACTCAGCCTGCCTTCCCATTTAACATATATTCCAAGGTTAGAACTATGTGAACTCTAGGAAGAAATACAGAGGCTCTTGTATGTGTTTCTCTGAAGTAAGGTCCACATGTGAAAAAAAAGTTGGACAAGTATTATTTGACCTTGGCTTTGCAGAGTTTTTTTGACAGTGGAGCTGAATATACTCATGAACCTATTCAGGAAAGATTTTGTGATTGAAGTATGGCTGCATGTCAGCCTGCACATCTGGCTTTTGTAATGCATCTTATTTCAGTCCAAGACTAAGTTATCTTAGTATTATGGGAACTAGATGATTTGTCCTTTTGAACATGTTAGCTATATACCACAGTTGAATTCACTGATAAACTTAGATAAGCAGTAGTCTAAAGCCTTCAGATAATTTTGAATAACAAATTTTTATGTAATATAGATCTGTCTACCATGTGAATTTTCACCTAATGCATCTTTTTATAATTGCTGGTCTGGATAGACCAAAACTACATTAACTGTGATGATTCTGATTTAATAGCAATTCTGATTATAATGCTTCATTCTTAATATATTTGGGGGCTAGGAAGAAAACTCAGTGGGTAATATCACTTACTACAACAGGCCTGGATATGAATCCAACCTCCAGAATCCTTATAAGTGTAGATGAAGGGTATGAACCAGTTCCACAGCGTTGCCCTATGACAACACACACACTGCAACCCAAAGGCACATGAATGTTCTCACACAGACACAGACACACACACACTAAGAATATTTTAATTTTAAAAGAAAAAATTGAAATGTTTATTCTCTAAGTAAGATAATGGGAAAACTCTTAATTTTAGTTACTAGCAGGGAAAATATTTAAGCCTCAGTTTTCTTATTGTAATTCTAGGGATAAAACACCTTATATACGCTTCAGGCTTCTTATTATTGAGAAAACTTAATAAAATTACACTACTGTGTTAAAAATAGTAATTTTAAATTTGCAAGAGAAAAGCATAACTAGCTGTTCCTGCTTTCATTTTGTTTCCTGCCTAAAACCTACATTCAAAACTATGAATTGTAGTAGTTAGTGTTATGTAAAGGCCACAACTGATATGATATGACCATTTTAAAATATGTTATAAAACTCTTTAAGCAAACTTCCTTTTCGTGTTTATCAGTCCTATTTCTATAAAGATACTCTGTTTGAACGTGTGAACGTAAGTACCTATTTAAATGTCCAGTGAATGCATCTGGCAAGTCTGGGCACATGCTGATGGCAGACACTTCATTTTAGAATTCACTTGGGAGAAACATGAAAGACCAAGAAAGCCTTGCATTCTAACATTGTGCTTTAAAATACTAGCTTCAGTCTTGCTTGAATGAACGTCCCCCATTAAGCCAGGTATTCTCATATGTGTGATATTGACTCAGGGTATGACCATTTTAGGAAACCTTTGATTAGGATTTAATTAATATTCTTCTGGGTTTATAATCTTTACCCAGTTTCCTGGGCCAGTTTCATAT